TAAATAACAGTGGGGAGAGTGGGCATCCCCATCTTGTTCCCAATCTCAGAGGAAAAGCTTTCAGCTTCTCGCTGTTCAGTATGATGTTAGCTGTGGGTTTATCATATTTGGGCTTTATTATGTTGAGGTATTTGCCCTCTATTACCCATTTTGTTGAGAGTTTTTATCATGAATGGATGTTGAATTTTGTCGAATGCTTCTTTTTCAGCATCTATGGAGATGATCATGTGGTTTTTGTCCTTTTTGTTTATGTGGTGGATGATGTTGATGGATTTTCGAATGTTGTACCATCCTTGAATCCCTGGGATGAATCCGACTTGGTCGTGGTTTTTGCAGTTTTTCTTTAACCTTACAAACCCAGCTGGTATAAGAGCTCGTTAGCTAAAAAGCTAATCTCCCTTCATTAAAGAGAGACTTATATCTGAACTTAGATTTCCTTTAACACAAAACAGGAGGCCTAATCATATGCTTACACAATTAGGAAGGAATTCTCCCAAAACATCGTTGAAATTGCCTTTTATTTCCATGTCCCCTTCCTCAGATTGCCTTGCTTCTCCTACTTTCTCATATAAAATGTGTGACTCGGGCAATGATTTACTCCAGATACTTTGTGGGTATAAACAGGAAAACGTTACTCTTACACCTGATCTTGAAATCAGAAGGACAGCAAGAATGAGAGAGAAACGAGAAAAGAAAGAGGAAATGAAAAGTGGCCCAACTGCTTTGTTTCCACAGGCCCAGTCACCTCAAGCCACCGGCTCCATACCCTCTGTGACTTTCTCCTCTCATTTTCCTTGATTCCTCCCCGGAACCAAGAACCATCCACCTTTGTGGCATCGCCTCTATTGCTAAGCAACAGACTCAGGACTCCACTCACCCCAAGAGCCTTGAAAGAAGCCTCAAGACGGAAGATTCACTACATTGACAAGGGAAGGAGATGGAGGACATACTGCGGCTTGTTGTGGTGTCGGCCAAGATCAACCTGCCCAAAACGCCCCCAATGCCTCCACCCAGACCCTGCGTGTCTGCGTACTTCAGAGGTGAGCGCCAGGGTCCTGGATGGGAGACATAAGTCCCAAAAGGTAACATGCATTCAGGGAAAAAATAGGTTTGTTGGTGCCCTACCCTGTGAAAGTGGTGTGACAGAAAGGTGAGGTAGTCACCGTCCAGTTCTCTAAACTCTCATCTTTATTGCTATCATTTCTCTTATTAGGACATCTCAGCCTCCCATTGTTCCCAGGGAAGGGCTACTGGAATTAGATTAGTACTTCTATGAACTAAAGCTGTGCCACAAACTGAGGTTTAAAAAGAAAGTACCTTCACAGGATCGATGTGAGGATTTAAAAAGATAATGTACGTACAGCTCATTGTACAACTTCCCATAACAACTGCTCAGTGATAGGAATCCCTTGTACAACCAGCAAAGCCTTTTCATAGATGCAGCTTTTGCACCTCACAATGATTCCATGAAGCAAGCGAGGCAAGTTTTTTTTTTGTCTCCATGTTTTCATAGATGAGGAAAATATGGCCAAGAAGCGGGGTGTGTGTGTGAAAGGATTTATGAGGGGAAATGAAAGAGGTTGAGTATAGCTACATGACAAAGAGCTTGGAGTGAAAAGGGGAGAAGGGGGAGGAAGATGAACAGTCTGTGGGTGGAGGATAAGGAAGGTGGATGCAGGCCAGGGAGGTTTTCTGGGAAGCGTCGGGAGGGAGAAAACTGGTGCCAAGAAAAGAGAGGGTACAGCCGTTTCTAGGAGAGCCCTGAGTAAAGAATGAGGTCTCTTCCCTCTGTGCTCCCTGGACGTGGCAGCTCTCAGAGGCTGAGCACGTGGGACTCCAGGCTCACAAGGTGACTGAGCTTTATGTCCCCAGGTTGCAGGTTTAAAGAGGTGTCGTGGATGCTGTGCCTTTGCCCTGACTAATTTACCTTGGGCCAGGGAACAGCCAGATTCCCAGCCATCTCCCCCATTGCCTCATGGGCATTACCTTTCTCCTCCTAGAAGCAGCTTTTATAAAAATGCATAAAGCCCGGAACCCTGGGTTTACCTACAAATTCTCATAACTGAATGTTTATTTGATATTTTGTATGCCTTTTCACCTGCTCTTCTCCTGTGTACCTTTCACTACTCTGCACCCCCACCCCTACCCAACAGGTGCAAGCTGGGTCCCCTCTCTCTCTCTCTTACTCGCATCTTTCCTTGGGAAGAATCTCAAAATAATTTAGCACTTTGGAGGTGCTTTGCAGGTCTGTAGACTGTTCTTTGTTAGAGGTATTTCTGGAGGAGGGATTTTCATGGATGAAGAGCTTTCAACCCATTATAGATGTTTTGGAATGTCTTAGGGTATGCCAGGCTTTGCTCTGGTAAAAAATAAACCCTTAAATCCCAGTGCTGTAACACAAAAAAGTTGAGCTCTTTCTTACACCAAGTCCCACATCAATGGTGTTGATCAGGCAGCAATCCTGAATGGGTCCTCCGAACAGTAGTTTAGGGACCAGCTGCTTGCTGCTTATGGAGCCACCCTGGCACCACCCTGCCAGCAGATCGTGAGGGTGGGTGTGGGGAGTGGGGAGAAGGAGAATGGAAAGCCTCATGGGAATTTTAGGAGCCAGGCCTGGCAGTGTGAATTTTGCTCCCATACCCTGTTGGCCAGAATGCATCCCATGGCCCCTCCTGGCTGCAAGATGGCTAGGAATTATGTACCAAAGAACATGAAATGAGCACATAACATTATCTGTCACACGGGGGTGATGTTTTTATCTTGTAAGAAGTGAGAAAGTTGAAACCCCCAGAGTAAAAAAAAAAATCAGTGCTGCCAACATAGCTATGTCATATCTGCCAATGTAGACTTGAAGTTTTCTTGGAGTCCTACCTCTCTTTACCCCATTCCAACCTAGACTATGAAATATTTCCTGCCACCAGTGTCGGCCCCTTGGTCTCTTTGCAGATATCAAGAGAAGAACTCAAGAGGTGGAAGGGAATAACCCCATGTGGAATGAGGTAAAACACATCAGGACAAGCCGGGAGGAGGCACTGACGACCCCCATAGAAGGGTCGTGTCCAGGCCATGCTCAGAAGTCTAGGGAGAGGATAGGAAGCCTCACAAGCTTTTCCCATAGCCAGGGCATCTTGGCGCAGTCTCTGAACTGAAGGCCATGCGGGGCTGAGGGCTGCAGCGGCCACATCTGCCCATAGTGCTCTGGGCCCTTCCCCTCCCCTCTGGGCATGGCCAGTCTCATCCAACCGGGCCATCCTAATGTTCCCAGAACACTGAAGCAAGACAGGGCTCCCTGTGCAGGATCCTCACTCATCCTCCACCCACCTACCCATGTCCCCATCCTCCACCTCGGTCCCCAAGCCCCCTAATTACCAACGTGCCACAACACTGCAGTTAAGCTGAGGGAGGCATCCCAGGTAGGATGCCCAGCACCTTAACGGAAGGTAACAAGTGCCACCATCTTAGGAAATTTGACTTGAGGGAGGTTCCTCAGTTCAAGAGAAACACAGTGCCAACCTGTTCCCTGAATCTTTCCTTATTTCCTAGAAGGATGGACGAGGGAGTGGGGAGGAAGGATGCTGACCTCTCTCTGCCCCCTGACAGACCCTAATCTGGCACCTCTGGAACCGCCCCCTGCAAAATGACTCATTCCTGCAAATCATCCTTCAAGACATGGGCTCCACAAAGAAAGAAAGGTGAGACAGGCAGGAGACTCCTGATTGTAACTAAAGCTACAGTAGGTGCTGCAATCCTGTCCTTAATCCGCAACTCACTCAAAACTCACTCCAGCCAGCTAATGCAAAAGAGAAAGAAAAGAAAGGGTAGGGGATTTGTGGAAGGCTCCTGAGTCTAGGAATGCAGATGAACTAGAACTAGGAACCTGGGAGCCCAGAAGCAGTTCTGCCTCGTCTGAAACCACAGGATCTCAAATCCCTGCTTCTCTCTGCCCAACCCTGGCTTCCCATCATGGCCCCATCCTAGTGCCCAGCTGAAGCTGACACCCACTGAGGCTGATGCAAAGGCATCCCAGATCAAAATTCCTAGGACAGAAAATCTGATTGGCCCAGTTGGGTCAGGTGTCCACCGCCTGGTCCAATCAGCTGTTAGTTGGGAGCAGAGCTTCTGGGAAGAGGCTGGGCCAGGCTGAGCCAGTAATTGGGACACTCACTGCCCAGGGAGCCCCAAAGCCAATCCCCAGAAACCTGAGAGCCCTGTGCCCTCTGGTGGATGCTCTCCATCACTGCACACTTCCTTCAGCCTGTGGACAGCATAGCCTGTAGGAGAGAAAAGCATCTCTAGATGAAATTATGCCTGGGACAGAGGACACCCTTTCCCCTGGCTCAGAATCTCATACCTGCTCATCTTCCCAGGTTCACGGGCCTGGCCACTGTACTGCTCAAGCCCTTGGTGGAAAAACCAAGCGAGGTCCTTTTCTTGAAGGATCTGGCCCTGCTCAGTCATTCCATGATGCCCACAGATGTGAGTCGGGCCCCAGGAAGGGTGGCTGGAGGAAGGGGTGCAGCTGGTGAAGCTGGGAAACGCCACCCCAGCAAAGGGCCAGTGTCCCCCACCAGAGGGCTTGTCCTGTCCTGGGGGGGTCATCACACTGTCATCATCTCCCTAGCTTCCCCATCCTGCCATCCATCCACCCACCCACCCTTTAACCCTTCCACCCACCCATTTAGATTATTTGATTGATGGTTCCCTGGGTGTCAGCAACTGTGCTAGGCCTGGAACATGAAATGAAGCCAGCTCACAGTCTACTGGAGTTGGTTCTGCTCACAGTGACAGGTGCTCCGGTGCGGTACACAAGGGTCTGTAAAGCCAGGTTGCTGGGGTCAGGAGGAAGTGAATGGTTCTGCTGGGGAGGTAATGGGCGGCTTTACAGAGATGATTAAGACATGTGGAAACAAAGACCAGTCAAATGAGAATAATCAAATTCTATTGAGAGGTTGCTATAGCAAAGGAGTCAGCCACCATCACTTGCCTTTTGGCAGAGACTCAAAGGCAGGCAGAGGAGAGGCAAAAACTTAGAGTGGAAAAAAGGGGAAGGCTCCAGATGCACTTTACTGGGGGCCGCTGGGGGATCTGGAAAGATCAGAGGGCATGCATCCTATGTGATTGGCAGTGAGTGTATATTTGGCTTTCTCTGGTTGGCCCTAAGTTGGAAGCAGGGACAGAAGTTAGAGAAGCTATCAGGTATTAATCAAGTCGTGGCTGTTTGGGACTGATTGTTTCAGGGCTTATTGTTTAGCTTCCTGGACTGGTGGCTGGAGAAGTGACCTGACCTCCTACAAAGCTGTGCTATACATAGCAGGCTGGCTTCCTTAGCTGGTTACTGTATATACTAGGTTGATTATTTCAAGTTGTGCATCAGTGTTCCATTTTTATATAGGGTCTGGTTATTGTGTATTTGTATATTCAGTTTCTCACTGGGCATGAGTTTGCCCAAAGAACAGGAAAGGAAGACAATGCCAGGCAGGAGAATAAGGTGCATGTGTGAAGGCTGAAGAGAGAGAGAGACATGGGCTGCCCTGCACCACCAGCAGAAGGTAGGGGGTGTGAAGGGAAGGTTGGGGGACTGAGGCTAGGTGCGTGGCCAGGGGTCAGAGGCCAGGGGCTTTCTGGCCTGTGCTGATGAGTTGTGACTTTACTCTGATCATTAAGGGTACTTAGGAAGTGTTTAGGGCCAATTCTGGCGATGGTCTAGAGGATGGATGGGTAGTGGGAGCACTTGGAGACAGGAGGTCAGTTAAGAGATATTTGTAGGAGCTCCTGCCTGAGGTCATGAGACATTGAGCTAGAAGAGCTGTCAGCACCTGTGGCTCTAGACTGGTCCCAAGTCACCTCTCCCTCTCCTCCCCCACTACTGTATCCACTTACCACCTCCTCTGCCTGTGCTGCATCTATTTTCCAAACCCCCAGCCCCATAACCGTTGCTCCCTCCCCACCAATGCATATGCTCCCTCCACCCCAGACCACACAGGCCCCATGGTGTGGCCCTGTACCATGTGCCACATTGCTCTCTGCAGTAGCACTGGGTGAACTCAGCAGTCTGGGCCAGAGTCTGGGGCTGTGATCCGGCCAAAGACCACGGCATCTGGCTTATGGCCGCGGCCTTTGCCTTGCAGTGCACCATCACCCTACAAGTGGCCCGTATGACCAGCCTGCATATTGAGAAGACAGGTCTGTACTCACAGGGGGCTTACCCCTGCCCTTCTTCAAGCATAGCTGATGGGACCTTTGAGACCCATCCACTGAGGCCTACAGAAGGATTGTGACCAGGTTAGGGTCTAGAGGCCAGATCTCCAGACACCCAGCTGAAGTCATGTTCTCCCAGTATGCCGCTTCTCATATCTAGACTTAAGACCCAGCACCCAATGGGCTGGAAAGGGAGGCAAGGATGGCCATTTCCAAGAGCCCCCTATCTGGAGTTGCTGCCCAGGTTACTGACGGCGGGAGGGGGCCCGTGGGAATGTTCTAGGGAGAATGTGCCCTTATCAGGCCTCTTGGCCATGTTTTAGTCAGGAGCTGGTCACTGGGGATAGAACAATGAAATGGGGGAAATGCCTCAAAACCTCCTATGTCCCAGCCTCTGAGAGCCCACCCTGGATTTCGTTTCCCTAGGTGATGAAGACCCCCTGGGCCTAACTACACGAGAGGCAGCCTGGCAGAAACCGATGGTTCCCAGCTCCGCCATGCAAAAGGCCCTGCCCTTCAAGCCTCAGCACTTTCAGGTGAGGGCCTCCCAGGCTGGAGCTTGTGTGATTTGTCTGACACCCTCACCATGCTCCCAGGCTGTGCCAGCCTGTCCACAGGCCATGGCCAAGGATCAGAGCTACGTGTCCTCAGATCCTCACCACATCTCCGGCTCCTCCATGGGCCATCCCAGGGGACTTCTGCATGTGACTGAAGCTAGAGGCAGCTCCAGCGAGGTGACAGGAGGCACTGTCAGTCATGCACCAATGGCTTTTCCCTGGAAGATGCTGGGGGGCAGAGCAGAAAGCCGGGCCCCTGCTCTTCTGGCATCCTCAGAGTCGTGGGCAGCACATGAGGCTAGCTGCACATGGTGAATTAGGTGAACGCCCAGAGGATGAGGAGAGTTTGAGGGGGTCCACAGGAAGGTCCCCTCTGGAAGCCCCATGCATGGCTTACCACTGCCCTTTGGTCCCTAGCCTGTGACCTAACATTTCTGCCATGTTTTGTCTGCTCCTCAGCCTGTCACTTGCTCAGGAGACTGAGAGTTACCCTTGACTGCCCCTCTTCCTCACTGCACCCCAGCACCCATCATCAGCCAAGTCTTAGCCCTTAATTTCACCCACTTCTCCATCCCTGACCTCAACCACCACTGCTTGCCTGGATGACCTCGATAGGGTTCCCCCCAATTCCCAGCTTCCAGCTCTCTCCTGTCCATTCTTCAAAGTTGTCTTTCAAAGACATTCTTATTATGCCACACACCTGCTAAAAATGTCCCTAAAAATGAGGATAGACCAATGTCCTCAGGACAAAACCCAAACTCCTTACAATGGCTTCCCCACCCTTGATAACCAAGCCTGCCCCTCCAAGCCACTCTTTCCCCTGCCTCCTCACATTGCTCTAGCATCCTAGGCAATTTGCAGTCCCCTTTCTCAAGCCTCTCCCTCTAGCCACCAGGCTTTGCACATGCTATTGGCTTGGGAGTACCTTCCCTCTCCCCACTGGCCCGTCCCTTGTCACCAGGCTGGTCTGCCACAGGACAGAAGACCGATGTGCCCAAATAACTACTCTTCCTGTGTACTAGTGGTTAGGGCAGAATTATGACATGAGGGCTGTTTGCCTGGCCCACCATTGTCTCTGATGGTCAGGTAGCTGCATGTGTATCAATCCCTGAAGGACCCCTGGACTTGATGGAGACACAGGTGACCTCATGGAGAATGGCTGGACCCACCACCTAGGTTGGGAGAGCTGGATGCTGTTACTACCTATAGTCAGTGACAAGCTCCCACAGCTGCCCCCTGCTAGCCACTGACAAACTCCAGTTCCTTCTACCGCTGGGCCTAAGCCAGGCTGGCTGGATCTTCTGTGGGCTCCAGCCTTCTCTTTTCTCCCTCCTGCCTTCTAATTCTAGGCCCAGATATCATAGTTCCTTTACTGGGTCTCAGGAAAGTACATGAAAGCAGAAGAAGAAATCACAAATCAGAGATCAAGTCACAGATCCTGGATTGAATTGCATGGGACTTCAGATTTTCAATTCCTTGAAAAGAAAAATTTTGTTAAAAACCTGAGAAACGTTAGACTTTATATTCCTTTCTTCTGTAACAAGCCCATACCAATGGAGAAACACCAGGTCCATGCAAGATGAGAAGGGCAAAGTGGAGGTGACGTGACAATTCCCGAGGGAGGAGGAGGAGCCAGGCCTTTCCAGGGCTGGTGTTCAGGCAGGCAGAGCCCATCGCCTCCTCACCATCTCTCTGTGCCTCCCCCTTATATCCCTGGTAGATGTTTCTTAGCAGAATATTGTGTCCTTTTAGAGAAGAGTCTCTATTGCACGCCAACATCCGGTTCCCCGGTTTTCTGCCCTGTAGGTCCGAGTGAAGGTGTTTGAAGCCCGACAGCTCATGGGCAACAACATCAAGCCAGTGGTAAAGGTGGTCATCGGAGGCCAGCAGCACTACACACGCATCAAGATGGGAAACAACCCTGTCTTTAACGAGGTGGGCCCGCCCCGGGGCCAGCATTTCCTGCAGGCAGCTGGCAAGCTTGCTTCTTGACTCGCATGTTTGCATTTTGTTACACAAACGTTTACTGAGCACTGATGGAGGGCTGAGCACTGTGCTTGGCACTGGGAATACAGGTGGAATTATTCGGAGCCCTGCACTGGAGGGGGGGGTCCCAGCATATGAACGTGTTGAAATGACAGTGGGGCAAGACGGGTTGACAGCCATCTGGGAATGCTGTTAATGCAGCCATGAAACACAGGCCTAGACCATGCTCACTGTCACTTCTGGGGCCCCAAACTGTAGCATTGTGCCTGATATACAGTAGGCACTTCATAAACACTCATTGAATTAATTGGTGAATAGACCAACAAATGCAAGTTAGAAAGCATAGTGGGGACATAGAGGAGTTGGTGGAAAGGACTCAGGAAAGGCTCCCAAAACCCTGAAGGAAGAGTCTCCCAGGGAAAGAGGGCCAGGGTGGGGAAAGATAACTCAGGAGAAAGGAACAGTGTTTTCAGAGGCCTGGAATGAAGAGGCATCAGGACTTGTGGGCAGAACTATAGATACGGGTGTGGGTGGATGGGAGTCTGCGAAATGTGCGCCCCATCACGGATGGCCCTTGGGAGCCACGGAGGAACTTGAGCAGGAGAGCGCAGAGCCAGGTTTGCACTGGCTGCAGCAGGGAGCGGCCTAGAGTGACAGACAGGGCAATCCAGGAGGAGGTAGAGGCACGGATCTCCATCCCAGCACAGCTCTCTAGGCCTTAAGCTGCTCATGGCAGGTCCTCCAGGGATCCCCTAGCCCAGCCCTTCATCTGGCAGAAAACCCTGGGGGAGCTTGGCAGGCCTCTGCTTGCAGAGGAGTGTGAGTGTAAAATAGGCAAATGTTGGGGAGGAAGCCTGCTATTTTAAGCCTTAGGGCTTCCTGAGTCCCTGGGTGAAGTGGTAGAAGAAACGCCATCTATCCCACCCCCATTCTCTCTGCTTCAGACTTTCTTCCAGAATTTTCATGAGGTTCCTGCAAAGTTCTTTGATGAGACCGTCTTAATCCAGGTGAGGAGCCCAACAGTTCTGGGAAGTACATCAGCCCCATAGCCCTCCCTTAAAGCCCACATCATTTCACATGGTCCTCCTGTCCCCAAGGTGGCATCGCCACCACCTGCCCTCCCCGCAGCTCTGACTTCCCACTCAGTCAACCAACGGAGGTTAGGGAATCCCAGGTGCTAGGCCCTGAGCCAGGCACTGACACCAACCATGCCACCCTGCGCCACATGCTGGATTCCAGGCCGCCAAAGGACCTCTCAAGTGTCCCCTCAACATGTGACATTCCACTCCCTGACCAGAGGGAGCCCAGCAACAGTGGCGAATGTGTGTTTATCAGGTGGCTCCTATATGCCCAGCACAGGGCCAAGGAGAACAAGGAGGACTCTCTCTTGAAGAGCTCATGTTCTTGGGAACACAGACACATGGAAAACAACCAGGATGGCATGAGTGAAGACGGCTGAGTGTGGCGCTTGGCTTTGTGCTGACCTCTGGGTTGACCAAATGAGAAAACCTACGTGGAAGCGTTGAGTGAATCCTGGAGAATCCTGAATGCACCCTTACAATTCCTCCCATGGGAACAGGGAAATTGGGGCTGTGAATAACTGAGATCTTTCTGCGAATTCCCTTGCAGGTGATGAATTCCTCACTGCTGAGATTCAATGCAGAGATCGGGAGATTCCAAGTGAGCACTGGATAGCAGAGGAAGTTTAGTGAAAAGGTTATATAGAGACCCACCCTAGCCTCCCTGCCTGAGTGTAGGGAAAAGGGCTTGGATTTTCATGCAGAAAGACCCAGATTTGGATCCACCTACCAGTTGGGTGACTTAGACAAGTTATTCTGAGCCTCTACTTCTTCATCTGTAAAATGGAGATAATAATATACTCAACTCACAGGGTCATTGGGCACTAAAGAATGTGTAACATTTATAAAAGTGTAGGGTGCCACGTTGAATTACCCTCACTTACAATACTATGGACACAACACAAATCGCTGCCCCCAGGAAAACGAAGCAGAGGCTCCAAAATAGACAACCTAACTGTGGGAGAAAGATTGCTGCCAGTGAGGACAGAGTAAAATGGTTTGCTTTGGAAAGATACAGACTGAGAGATGAGGAAAGTTTACACAGACAGGAGCTAAACTAAGATTGTCCAAAGGCAGGGTTGCCAAATTGGATACAGGATGCCTTCCTAAATTTGAATCTAAACAACAGATACTTTTTGAATACAAGTATGTTCCAAGTATTGTATGGCTCTTCATGACATACTGCAGGGGATGTATGTACACTAAAAAAGGAGTCATTGTTTATCTGCAAATCTCATTTAAGTATGTAGCTACATTTTAATTTGGTAAATCTGGCAACCAAGGAAAAGGGCCCCACCCTTGGGAAAGGCACACCTAGTACCAATCAAAGAAAGGCTTCTTCCTCCTCCCTTGTAACAAGAACAGTCATGTCCTGCCTGCCCCCAACCAGCCCCAATCTCACCCTCAAAGAAGGCTTAGAAATTAGGATATTCTAGAAAGGTTAGATGGCAGGAAGTCTTCTAACAAGGCCACTTGACAAAGGCCACTGTGCAATTTCCAGACAGTGACCAACAATATGAACTGTTGAATAAGCTATAGAGGTCAGAGAAAATCTGAGCTTTTTTATATACATACTACTTTCTTAGAAAATTTCAAATATACACAAAAATAGAGACTAGCCTCATGAATTCCATCCTCATCACTCAACTTCACCAATTCATTGCCAATGATGTTTTCTCTATACCCAGCCCACTTCCCCTCTCCTACTGGCTTATTTTGAATCAAATCTCAGACATGATATCATTTTTAAACATTTCCTTATGTATCTTTAAAACACAAAAATTTTATTAAGCATAATCAAATACAATGATCACACTTAAAGACCTTTATAATTCCTGGATAGCATTGAATAGTCAGTGTTCATATTCCCCTAATGGTCCTGAGAATTCCTTTGAGAGTTTGCTCAAATCAGGACCCAAACTAGGCACCTACACTGCAGTTGGCCAAACTATATTTTTAGGTCTCTTTTCTTCTGTTGGTCCCACTGCCTTTTTTCCCCTGACATTTATTTGTTAAAGAAATTGGTTGGCTTGTCCTGCAGAGCTTCCTCCAGGCTGGATTTTGCTGATTGCTTCTCCAGGGGATCGGGTCACATGTCCCTCTGCCCAGGTGTTTCCTATGTAGAGGCTTGACCAGACTTGGGTCAATTATTTAGCAAGACAGCTTCAGCACGAAGTACAGAATGTCTGTTGGTCTCTCTTTTACGTTGTTAACAGATATTGATCAGTGCCTAAATCTATTGTTTCATTAGGGATGACGTAAATTTGTTTTGTTTTCTTCCAGCTTTACTGAGGTACACTAACATACAATTAATTACACATACTTAAAATGTATAATCTGATAGTTTAAAATATGTTGACACCCTTGAAGCCATCGTCACAACCAAGATAATGAACATATCTACACCATCACCCTCAAAAGTTCCTTGTACCCTTTTGCAATTCTTCCCTCTCACTCCCATCCCACCCCCTCCCATTCCCAGGCAACCACTGGTCTGCTTTCTCTATAGATTGTTTCACATATTCAAGAATTTTATATAAATGGAATAATGCAGCATATACTCTTTCTTGTTTGACTTTTTTCACTCAACATGATTTTGAGATTCACCCATGATGTTGTTTGTATGAACAGTTTATTCCTTTTTATTGCTGGCTAGTAATTCCATTTATGGAGAGACTATGGTTTGTTTATCCATTCAGCTGTTCATAGAATTCAGAATGTTTCCAGTCTTTGACTATTACAGTAAAGCTGCTGTAACAGTATTGTATAGATCTTAGTATGGATACATGCTTTAATTTCTCTTGAGTAAATATATAGAAGTAGAATGAGTAGCTTATATGGTAGGTGTATGTAACAGCTAAAGAAAATTCCTGAAAGTTTTTCCCCAAACCATTGACATAGTCCATCTTATTTATTTTAGCCATTTAAATTACGTGTAGTGGTATCACCTTGTGATTTTAATTTACACTTCTTTGATGACTACTAATGTTGAGCATCTTTTCATGTGCTTATTTCTCATCTCTATATCTTCTTTTGGTGAAGTGTCTGTTCAAATCTTTTGCTCTTTTTCACTGGGCTGTTTTCTTACTATTGAGTTTTGAAATGTTCTTATATATCCTGGATACAAGTTCTTTATCAGATATGTGATTTGGAAATATTTTCTCCCAGCATACAATTTATCCTTTCATTTTCTTAATAGTGCCTTTTAAAGAGCATAAGTTTTACACTTCATTGAAGTTCAACTTACCAAATTTTTCTTTTCAAGATCGTGCTTTTGTTGCTGTATCTAAAAAAAACTTTACCTTTCCAACCCAAGGGGGTAACTGAGTTTTAAAGCAGGCCTAACATGCAGAATTTGGGGATCCTCTATGGAACTTTCAGACTGTGGATTACAACAGTGGCCTGAATGTACTGCAGTGCCTTGGCTCACACACACCCTCAGGCTTCAGTCAGAACCTTCTCCCAGGGAAAGGAAAAACCCATGGTCTTTTGCTGACTCCTCTCATGACCATCCTCTTCCCCAGGATGGGAGACACCCCTTCCCCCCAAACAGGGGTTCAGTCAGTGCTGTGTTGGCCAAGCAGAGCTGTATGGTGATATCATTCAGGATCTTTTTATTCCAGGCCTCCCCACTTACTAGTTGTAAGACTTTGGGCACTTCCCTCAAATTCAGCTCCTCCTCTAATGAATGGAAGTGATAATCACCAATCACCCAACTTCTAGGTTGTTGTAAACATTAAAGGAGTTAGGACAGGGAAGTGCCTAGGCCCTGGTGGCTACTGTTGTTATCAGGTTAGCTGGTATTACAAATATTGGCCAGAGACCCTAACTAATCCTTACTCCACTCTTGTTTTTACAGACAGATATTGGGTTTATCTACCATTCTCCAGGTAGGTGATGGTAGTTGCAAATACATGTGTCTTCTGAGAAAAACCAGGGCATGTGTTGAAACATCTCAAAATCCCTGTGTGTTCAACACATGGGGGGGGAAGAGTAGTCAAGGGTGTGAATAATTTTCTGTATTTGACTTGTCTTGTTTTATAATAACATCTTTCTCTGGAAAGTTCAAAGTACCTCTTTGGGTTAAATGCTAACCTTTTATTGCAGCCTTGGGTGGAATTGCTGTTTTTTGAGGCCAGTATGGTGGACTGAAGTTTGAGTAGAGGTTCCCACCGTGACCTGGCCGTAACAAACATAGTGGTGGAGGTTGGGACTTCGGGCTGGGGAAAACGCTTGCCTCTCAGACCAGGACAGTAACACCAGTAGGTTCCCAGGATGGGAATGAAGGGTCCTTATTTCCTAAAGGCAACAGCTAGGAGTCTTACAAGTGTACTACCTTTGCTAATGGCAGGAATGACTCCCATTTTCCTCTGCTACTGGATTGGAATTGGGATATATGAGATCCATTTCCACACCTCTCTCCACAGAAACAAAGACTGATTTTAGGGAATCATGATGGAGACTGGAAGCTGGTCTCCCAAAGGCCCTCTGCCCCTCCAGGTCACACACTCCTGAGGAAATGGTTAGGCCTCTGCCAGCCAAATGAGCCCAGCAGTGGCGTGAGAGGCTACCTGAAAGTCACCATCTGTGCCCTCGGTGCGGGAGACCAAGCCTTGGTGAGGCTGCTTGACACCCCAGGAGCATTTCCTACCCTGAATGCTTCCATGGGGCAGCTGTGGGCCACAAAGTGGCTATCGATCTTCACACCCTTTCATTTGTCCACTGTGTCCCTTCAGTGTGGTCCACCCACCCTATACCAAGGGGAAGGCTGGGGAAGCCAAATCTGGTGGCCTTGGCTGTGACCTCCCTATGACACTGACCCTAGTCAGCTCTCTGGTCTCTCCAGGTAGATCAGAAGCTGCCCTATGGGACTGATGACACCCCTCCTCAGATCTTCAAATCAACAGTGGTCTCGATGAATGTAGCCTACTTACAGTTCTTCATCTACTGCGCAGAAGACCTTCATCTCAGTTAGTCGGGTGGTGGGGAGGGAGCAGTCTTGAGGTTTCCTACACAGTGGCACCCTGGATTCTCATGGGGCTTCCCTGTTCCACTTTGATCTGAACCTAAGATTTGAGGTGAGGGGAGAGGGGGAGACAGAAACCCACCAAGAATTGCTTTATGAAAGCCCCATGGATACCCTTAATATGGACAATATGCCTCTGACCTTTTTTTGACACCCAGATGCAGACTCAAGGTTCTCTATGCCAGTCCCCACCCCAGCTGCCATTAGGTGACACATAACAGCACACAGAGACACAGCAGAGATGGGAGAGGTCTGCCCACGGACCACCAAACCAAATTGTGGGGAAGGGTTTTAAGTGGTTCTGTCACCTCTCTGTTTCCTCCTTAAAAAAAAAAAAAAAGGCTGCCATCTCAGAAATCTTTTAACTCCCTTTTTACAGAGAAACACTACTCGGTGAGTCCCATGGTGGAGGTGGAACTAATTGGGGAAAAGGTAAGTATAGAAAGGGTCTGAGGCTTACAGAAAGTGCCACCTAGAGAAAAAAATGGGCAGAGAACAGACTGGACTGGTGGGCAGGACCCCAGAAATAGTATAGAGTTCTTCCGTTAATGGGCAATGTGATCCCATTGGACCGGAATCTCTGGGAAGGTGGGGCCATGGCTTGCTCACCCCCTATCCCAGCACTGTGCCCAGTGCCTTGCATGGAGAAAATGCCCACTGGAAGCCAAACATACAAATGCCATGGATGAGTGAATGAAAGAATATGCCCTCAAAGAACAACACTGAAACTGTCAGCGCCCCCTCTGGGCCTCAAGTTTCTTCATCTATAAATTGAAGGTCCTATGCAAGAGAGTTGCTGACGCTCCATGAACCTCTCAGAACACAGGGAAGCATTTCCCGAAACGTTATATGCAAAAAAACGGATCTTGTGTTCAAATCTGGGGAATGCTGGGTTAGAGTTAAATAGGTTTGTCCCAGAATCCATAAACCATTACCTCCACTGCATTTCTACCACAGTCTACCTATTAGAAGTCACTGAACCCAGACCGTTCATAAGAGGAGGGAGCTTAGTATCCACCTTTCAAATGGAGGAGTATCAAAAGGATTTGTGGACATATTTTAAAATCACCACACTGAGTGTGGGTTGGATACTATGTATCTAGGTGAGATGCTCATGGGTGGCCAGTGGCACACATTTTTTGAATTTTTTAATATTTCTCTGTTTTTATTAGTGTATATTAGGAAGTTTAGCCAGCCCACTAACCCTTGATTTCACTGACATAATTGCTTAGACTAACGATAGGTTTAACAACGAAGTCACGTGATGCTTTGAAAAGGGCATGCTGTGGTGTCCTGCTGCCATCAGCATTGTTCTGGCTCCTTTTCTCCTGGGATCTTAGAGTCTGTCTAACAAAATCTATGTGTATGCACTCATGTAATAAAGTTAGTAACCCTACATCTATTTTTAAGTGAAGTCAACTGAAAGCTGATTTAAGGGAAATTCCTCAGGCATCTGGGTCTGGGTAGGCTCAAAAAGGACTGATGTTGCTGCTGAAGGGAAGCCCTCAAAGTGTCTTTAGATCAGGAGTTCCCATCATCAGCGCAGTGCTGAAGACAGCGTCCCCTGGTGGGCAGGACCGGAAGAGCTGGAAGGTGAGGCCCGTGGAGGGAGGCTGACACTGACTGCTTTGGGATGTTCCAGCTCAAGACAAACACGCTGACCCAAACCGAGAACCCGCTGTGGAACCAGATCCTGACCTTCCAGGTTCAGGTATCACTGGCCATCGCGCCCCCTCCCCTCCTCCCACCAAACCGCAGGGAAGCTTGGGTGTTAGTGCGGGGATGGGAACGGAAGGTAGGGGCAGGAAGCATGCGGGCCGTGTGGGGGCTCTGCCTGGTAGGGAGCAGGTGGAGGCTCAGGACACAGTATGGAAAACCTTACTTTATTTATGCGGTATTAAGATATGAGTGGGCCTGACGACTAAATTTTCCAGAAAACATAATCATGCCCTTTCACCTCCATTAAAGAATAATCACTTTAAAGATTCATTCTAAATTGTATTATACATTTTCTTATCTTCTAGGCAAAGTGCCCTGAATATAATTAGAGCTTTGTTGATGGCCTAGAGGCATTATGGGAACATGGTTACATGGGCTGTTTGTTCCTACCCTAAGTGGCCCCACAATGCTCTTCTTTGTGGGGTTCTGTAGTGTGATTTTTATAGCCTTTCCATCCTCTCAGTCACCTATCAGCAGTGAATGCCAGTTCTCTGGAAGTCCTGGGAGGGCCTTGATTGCCTTTGGCGCTGTGCCAGGCTTCTAAGCACTCTGTGTAAAATAAGAGTAAGCAATTCTGAGATGACTTGAGCGCTCTCATAACTGCGAGTGCATAGAACTTTGTGTGGCATCTATTCAGGTACCCAGAGAGTGTCTGGTTTTCCTTATACTTACATCAGTGTGAGGGAAATTAGTCAGCGAGCTCCCCTCTACTTGTGGAGCCTCCTTGCTTCTCCTAGAAGCTTCTAGTCTGTTTCCTGCTGAGTCATAGTTTTTAACTATTCCTCATAATCCCCATCTTCTTGGGTAAGTTTATAGACTCCTAAAGTAGGAAGAGGTTTTAGAGGAGGCCTGGTGGTCTACCCCCCACCCCTGCTCCCTCCTACCTGTCCCTGGCTGTGACTAACCTCATGACCAGGACCCTTAGATGCTCTGTGGATGTTCAAAGCTTGGAAACCCTCCCCCATGTTCAGCTGCCTTCAGACTCAAAAACCAGTGGCACAGGCCAGGCACCCCACCATCCCTGAGAGAGGCCTTCCAACATCTGAAGATGTCCAAACACTCCCTGAACCCTCACCCATTTCACACAGAACACAGTCCCCAGGGGTTGGGGTCATCTGAATCAGGCCTGATTGTCACTAGCCCTCTGGAAATGCAGCAGACAGCTGTGAACCTCATAGTGAAATGGCAGAATGACCACACAGACAGTAGCATCAGAGCCCCAGCAATGTGGGTGGGTGGGGTGGGGGTGCTGTTGTAATTGGGTAAGGGCCCTGGGACAGGAGGGGACCTAGACAAGAAATGGGAAAGGGGAGGAGAAGTCTCAAAACGGTGGATGAAAAGATGGTCCAGCCATGAGTTCCAATTTGGTGGATCCAGAATTTTGGGAGACCTAGATGCCTGATGCCACCCATCCCTCCGCTACCAACATCCTTCCTAACCTGGGCCTTTCCTCATCTCTTCCTAACCAGTTATTCAACTGCAAAGCCCTTTCACTACTTGCCCTCAGCCCCTAGACTGCACAGCAAGGGGAGAGCAGGGAACTAGGACGACTCATGACCATACCCCAGGAGCCGCTGGAAGGGAGAGGCCCCAGTGAGAGGATTTGGGTCCCAATCAGGCTGTTTTACACATGGATGTTTTTGTTTTTATAATTGAGGGAACCCTATGGGAGGGTGGAGATAAGACTCAGAAGCTTGGGATCTAATCCTGACTCCACCCCTTACTGTGTGACCTTGAGCAAGTCCCTCTGCCTCTCTGGGCCTCATCCCCCATCTTGTCAACTGGGACAATCCCAGCCCTCACTGGGGTATGGCAGAGTGAATAGGAGCTCTGAGGCTGCTTCAGCCCCTGGATGTAACATGGGAACTTCAGGAACTCAGCCTCTCTGTGCCTTAGTTTTCCTGTGTGAGAACAGGAAAACAGCACCTGGTTGGTGGGGCTGTTCGGGGAGTCACTCAGGTGATCCACATGGATCATTCAGCACAGGCCAAGGGACAACAGAAACCCTCCCCAGAGTGGCAGCTATCACTATTTACTCTTTGAGGAGACAGATGCCCTGCTGTTTAAAAGCTAACTGCCAAACGTGGTGAAGACGTTCTAGGCCCATGACCTTTCCAGGAGGTGGTTTGGGGAACAGATAGTTGGACCATGGAAGGTGGTGCGAGGACTGCAATCACGGAGTCTCTTGTTAGGGTGGACCCGAGTCTTGTTGGTCTTGAAGCTCATGCAATTTGGGGTCCGTTTTAAGAGCAAGAATATAAAACGATCATGGGACCAGTTCCACGCCTCTCCCAGGGCCTTGCAAGGGACCCATGCAAGTGGCAGGGGTCCTCAACCACAGGTCCATCGGTTCCCGTGGTAAATACTTCTTGCTGTGGCTAACCGGCTCATAGGTAACTGAGCCAGGCCTTGACCCTAACCCAGGATGTCCCAGCTGCTCTCGGTCTCTGCAAGGACCAGACCATCCAGGTGGACACCCACTGCTCTCTTCCTGTCCCCTTGCAGCTGCCCTGCCTCTCCAGCTACATCAAGTTTAGAGTCTTGGACTGGTGAGCAACTGGTTGGAGGCTGAAAAGCAGCAAGGGCGGAGAAAATCAGAGCTGGGCCAGTGGCTCAGTCTGCAGAGTGTGTTCTCTCCAGCCCCAAGGGAAAATGCCAGAATGAGATCGGGACTGTCAGCCTGTACCTCAACCAGATCTCATCCACAGGAGCAGAAATTGAAGGCAAGCAAGCCCCTAGGCTCCTGCCTCCCACACCTCTCCCACTTGGACCTGCTCCTTCTCACCTCTTTTCTTGCAGGAATGTACTCTGGTTTCCTCCCCTGCTTTGGCCCCAGCTTCCTGACTCTCCGTGGGGGTAAAAAGGCTCCTTTCAGGATCCAGGAAGAAGGCACTGTAAGCTTCTCATGTCACCGCTAGGGAACAGTGGAGGTAAAACCCACCATATGTAAGGCACTGGGGCCTGGGAAATGCCTGAGGAGGCGCGGCCCTGGTTTCTGTCCACGGCATGACAGCAGAGGACTGACTTGTAGCCTGTACATAAATAGCCATGCACATATGGGACATGTGCTGTGGCACAAGACAGAAAGAGATGGAGTGGCCTGGTCAGTCACTGAGCATAGGGCATTGTGATGAGAGCTCGGTAAGATTATCAGCAGGTGGAAAAGACATACCAGACAAAAGAAAAGACCAGGTAAATGTGGAAAAGCACTGAGACATGTAAAACTAGTGAAAAATGCCAGAAAGCCAGCTTCACTTGGCTTAGAAGAAGGGAAGCGAGCCGGGAAGGGTTCCGAGTGAGGATAGCTGCGGGCACCAGGACCTGGATGCTGAGAAGTTCCCGGGCTCAGTCCATGCTTCTCTCTGCTGCCCCTAAGCCTAGCCCTCCTCTCCTGTGCAGACAGGCCTCCCTGGAGGGCCGTCACAGCCCCTAATACAGGCCAGGGGAGCATTCTAATTGGCCTCTTTAGGTCACATGTGCTCCCCTTGGCCCAATCACTGTTGCCAACGAGGCAGGGCATGCCTGGGTGCTTCGAGTGGGCTGGCAGGTAGATTCCTGAAGAGGAGGAGGAACCTAAGGGTGTAGAAGAGGGGTCAGGGCCAGAGGCTTCCAGGCCACACCTGGGATTTCTGGACATCCGCCCCGGGACTGTAGATGGCCCTAGGCGAGAAGTTACTAGACAGCCCTGACTTCGCTGCAAAGGTTTCAGGTGAGCTTTGCCTGCCCTTCTTCCTCTCATGCCTTCTCTTGCTCTTTTCCTCCCTACTTCCCTAGAATACTCGCGACTCTGCTAAGGATGGTTTAGCTTATCGAGGCCGAATCTTCCTGGAGTTAATCACCCACTTCAACTCCCAACGAGAACTTAAGATCAAGGACCTCTCCCAAGAAGTGACCAGCATAGAGGTAACCCCAGGAAACAGGTAACCCAGGGAGAGAGTCCCTCTGCCTGCCTCATCTACTGCGAACCCTGTTTTTGACACTGCAAGAGCCACAAGCTGAATGCGCTATGAGTGCCTGAGGCTCGTGGGGGCTTCGTGCTGTGCCAAACCCCAGGAGGTCAGGGGACCCAGTAAAGACAAGATTAGGTTTCAGTTTAAGAAATGAGTAATCTATTTAAGGAGAAAAGAGCTTAAAGAGTCTGGATTTCTTCCTGAAGGCAGGGGAGAGCCATTGTTAAGAATAGACTAGAGGGGAGTGAGGTGGGGCACCCACTCAAGAGAAATAGGGGCACAGTCACAGGGGAGTGGAGCTGGACAGGAGGGGGCAGGTTCCAGAGACCCTCTAGGGGATGGACTAACCAGAGGCACTGACTAGCAGGACTTAGGAAGTGGGACCAGTTCCCCTAAGCTGACACCCATTTTCTTCTTCAAGTGGGAAGGGTGGCATGCATCAATAAAGGCTCCCTGAAGGAGGAGCAGGTCTGGGGGAGATGATGAATCCCCTTTGACATGTGCTTATGAGACCTCCACCAGTCCCCAGGCTGTATACAGATGGGTGTGCCATCAACACACCAGGATCTGAACCCATGGTTGTGGAGGAATTGACCAGGGGGAGAAAACGCGAAAGGACACCACAGCTCAAGAGGCAGGTGAAGGAGGGGGAGGGTTGCAGAACTGACTGAGGAGGAGTCTGCAAGGGGAGCACTAAGCAGCCTCCGGAGCAGAGTTGCAGAAAGAAGCCATCAGCCATTTGAATGTAGTGGAGAAAAGGGTGAGGACTCCAGCCTGTCCACTGGTTATTAGAAAGACATGGGTACCCTTGGTCAGGACAGAAGCCAGACCACTGCAAGTGGGAGGGAGACTTGCATATGGTGCAGAGAGGCAAGTGCAGAGAACTTGGATGGAAAGTGGAAGGAGACAAAACCAGGTGGTAGAAAAATTGGGGCCCAGAGGGGAGAAAGTGGGTTATTTTTTTGGATGGGGGACCTGAGCCAATGAACAGAATGGAACAACACAAGAGTAGGGCCAAGGTTGGGAAGAGGAGAGGGGATCAAGCATGATGGATGGAGGACCCTGGGCAGATGTGAGGCATGGTGGGAGGAGGGAGCTTGAGAAGGGCAAAAGCAGATGCATGTGGGTGCAACCTTTACCGCATTCAACTGCCCACACTCGGTCTCCAAAAGGGCATTTAGGCAGAAAGGGGAGGGATAACCTGGCCCAGCTCAGAGCCCAGCCTGATCAGGGAGAAGGCCCTCCTGCCCAATTTCAGGAGGGAAGGAACCAGACCTGGCTGGGTGGAGGGGGCCAGGTGATGGAGGTCCTGGGAGGAACCCCCCTGGACCAGCCAGGTGAGTGGGATCAGGCAGGACTTTGAGAGGAGGCAGGGGTCCAGTGATGGTCTAGCTCACCCTAAAGAGAAGCAAAGATGGCTTTTGAAAGTAACAGGCACCTCATCCTCACCTCCCTGCCTGACTCTATAGCCTTGTTCATCCCTTGGCTTATGTACTGGGATGTGGGGGGGTTATTGTTTTAGAAGCAGCAGAATCGCCAGAAGTATGGGCTGTGTGTCATCTTCCTTTCCTGTACCATGATGCCCAACTTCAAGGACCTGATCCAATTCGAGGTCAGCATGGGCCACTATGGAAACAAGATGGACCTGAATTACAAGCCTCTTGTCTCAACCACACAGTACAGCCCAGTGATATATGATGGTAATAGATCAACCAAAGAGCAGAGAGCATCCACTCCCTGCCAGGCTCTGTGTTTGGCCCTTTTGAGGGTATTAGCTCATGGAACATTCATAGGCATTGTTAACCCACATTGCACACTCAGGAAAATGGGCTTCAGGGAGGTATAGTCACCTGCCAAACATTGCACACTAGTAGGTAGTGAACCCACAACAAGAGTTGAAACTAGGTCTTGACGACATGTCCTTCTCTGTTACATTCCACAATACAATGTTCCAGATGCCATCTTCTCCCGTACTACTGAGAACCACCCCCCTATCCATCCATGCAACTACCATTCACGACTCATCTGCTCACCTTCTATCCATCCATGAATCCACTTATCCACCCATTCATCCATTCAACTCCCACCCATCCACTGTCCCAAATACCCAACCAACCACCCATCCATCCAGTATATACTCACTGGGCACTTAGAGTGAGCACTGTAGAGTAGTGTTCCCAGAGTACAGTCCCTGGCCAGCAGTATCCATATCACCTGGAGACTGTTACAAGTGCAGATTCTTGGCCTCATGCCAGTCTTACAGAATCAGAACACCTGGGGATGGGGCCCCACAATCTGTGTTTCAGCAGGCCCTGCTGGTGATCCGGATGCATGCTAAGGTTTGAGAACCGCTGTTCTAGAGGAATACTGTCTCACTTGCATCTTATCACCCACTGAGAGCCTTCCTATGCATCCCACTTCTTGTCCTGTTTCTTCTAAGAGCATATTTATTGAAATATAATTTACACACCATACAATTAATCCATGTAAAGTATACAATTCCACATTTTTTAGGATATTCACAGAATTGTGCAAATGACACCATGGTCAATTTTAAAGCATTTTCATCACCTCAAAAAGAAACTCTGTACCCACCAGCGGCCACCCTGTGCTTCTCTCTTATCCCCAGCTTTGGCCACCATTCATCTACTTCCTGTCTCTAGACTTTCCTGTTCTGGACATTTTATATATATGGAGTCACACAAATGTGTTGCTTGGTGGGCTGGCTTCTTTCACTTAGTATAAAGTTCTACTTGTTTTTAAATTATGAATATATACAAAAAGTATATTAAATGTACATGTACAGTTTAAAAAAGAATAATAAAATGGGTACCCATGAACTCACCACCCAGCTTAAAAGACAGAAAATCTTAGAAGTCCCTGTATGCCCTTCCCAGATCCATTTACCCAAGAAATAACCACTATCCTGACTCCTGCAATAATTGCATCCTTGCTTTTCGTTTTAGTTTTTTACCCCTGTGTATGCAATGCTCAACAGCATATTATTTTTGCACCTTCTAATACAAATGGAAACTTTCAGCCTGTATTTATCTGTTTTGCATCTTTTGCTCAATATTACATTTTTTTAATATTGGTATGTGTAGCTAAAGCTCTTTTCATTTCTGTATATATTCCACTGTATGATTAGACCACAAATTATGTGGTATATGTAGACATTTAGATTGTATCTTTTTTCCTACTACAATAATTTTGTTATTAACAGTCTTGTACATGTCTCCTGGTCACTAAGTTACATATCCAGGAGTGGAAGAGAAAGTCAAAGCAAAAGTAATTATACCAAATTACACTCTCATCAGCATAATATAAGAATCCCTATTACTGTGTGTTCTCACCAGTACTTGATGTTGCCAAGCCTTTTAATTTTTACCAATCTGATGGATGTAAAATGCAATCTCGTAAGTCCTTGATTTGCATTTTCTTGATTATAAATGGTTGAGCATCTTTTTATGTGTTCACAAACATTTGTCTTTTCTCATCTATAAAAAGCCTATCAATATCTTTTATCCATTATTATCTTTGGCTGATTTGTAGATTATCTTGTACATTATGTACAAATTTGTACTGATTTGTACATTATTTTTCCTGGGAACAATCTTTGGTCAGATGTGTGTGTTGTAAATATCTTCTGCATATTTGGGGTTTTTCATTCTCTTACTGCCAACTTTGAATTATTTATTGAGGTATTATTTACAAACAATAAAATGCACAGATTTTAGGTGTGCAGTTAGTTTGATGAATTTGGACAAATACATACACCCATATAGTTATGGGTAGAAAGTTCCATCAGCCCAGAATGCTGCCACGTGCCTCTTTTCAGTCAATCTCCTCCACCCCTGGTGGCAATCATTGTGTGCTAGGACTAAAGATTTGCTTTGCTGTTCTACAACTTCATATAAATAAAGTCATGCACATGGTACTCTTTCTATGGCTGCTTTGGCTCAAACATAGTGTTTTATATATTCATCCATGTTGTGGCATATATCAGTATTTTGTTCCTTTTCTTCTGATAGTACTCCACTACATGAATACGGCAGTTTATTTATACATCCCCTATTATGGGACTTTGATTTGATCCAAGTTTTGGAGTAGTATGGATAAAGCTGCTACAAACATTCTTGTACAAGTACTTTGTGGAAATGTGCTTGCACTTCTCTTGGGTAAATACCTAGAAATAGAATTAGGGTTTTAAAGAAAATACCTAACATTTTCCCAAAGTGATTGTACCATTTTATACCCCCACAGCAATGTCTGAGAGTTCCATCTACTCCACAGCCTTGCCAACTTTTGGTATTGTCAGCCTTTTTTATTTGAGTCATTCTAGTGAGTGGACATTGTACCTAACTGTAATTTTGATTTCCATTTCTCTAACCACTGATGATTCTGAGCATCTTCTCATGCTACATAATCTTTCCTCATGAAGGCACTGTTAAGTCTTTCTTCTGTCTTTGATTGGGTTGTCTGTCTTTTTATATTGTATTCCAAGGTTCTTTTATATTTTGGATACAAGTCCTTTGTCAGATACGTTTTTGCTAATATTGCCTTTCACTCTGTGGCTTGACTTTTCGATTTCCAAGCAGCATCCTTTGAAAACCAAACATTTCTAATTTTGATGAAGTCCAATTTGTTGATTATTTTTTCTTTTAGAGTAGTTCATTATGTGGTCTAAGAAATATTTGTCTACTGAGAGATCATGATGATAATTCTGTGGGTTTCATTCTACAAGCTTTATAGTTTTAGCTTCTTTGTTCAGGTTCATGATCTAACTTGACTTAATTTTTGGTATGGTGTGAGGGAGGGGTCAGGATTCTTTTTTCTGTGCATATATCCAATTCAGTACTCTCTACTGAAAAGACTATTCATTTCTACATTGAATTACTTTGACACCATTGTTTAAAATTAGCTGTATATTGCGGGTCTCTTTCTAGATTCTCTATTCTGTTCCATTAACCTACTTTTCTATCTTTATGCCAATATCACACTTCCTTGGTGACTGTAGCTCTAAAGCAAGTGATGAAATCCATAATGTTAGTCCTCCAACTTTGTCATTTTTTTTTTTTACAAATAATACAATTTCTGGCTATTCTTATTCCTTTCCATTTTCATGTAAGTTTTAGTATCAGCTTGACAATTTCTGCAAAAAAGGGTGCTGGAATTTTCTCATCCTCTTTTGTTTTTAATCAAGTGCTTTTTGTTTTGTTTTGTTTTTAGTATTGCATGCTATCTTGTCTATTGACTTCTGGCTATACATCTTTGGATTCTTTTCAGTGGCTGCTTAAGGGATTAAAATACTGATCCTTAATCTATCATAGTCTACCTTGAGTTAATATACCACTTCAGTATATAACTGTTTTAATAGTATAATTGCATTTTCATCTTATCTTTGCTACATATTCTGGCATTGCTTTACTATTTCGTTTAGGATTTTTTTCATCTATATTCACAAAGAAGATTGATCTGTAATTTTTCTTAAACTGTCCTTGTTTGGTTTTAATATCAAAGTTATGACAGTCTCATCAATAATTGAGTAGCATTTACTCCTTTTTTTCTCTAGGAACATTTAAGTAAGTCTGGAATCATCTGTCCTTGAAAATTTTGGTAGAACTCACCTCTAACTATGAACCTGGTGATTTTTCCTGCATTTATTTATTTATACTGTAAAACCAACTTATTGAAGTCATGGGCATTTTTGAGATTGACCAGGAAAAAGAGTAATATGAAGGGGGAAAAAGACGCTTGAATAAGGTGAGGGAAAAAAAGGGTCTCTGTCATTTAGTAATGTCTGCGAAGAGGAGGATCCTGTAAAATATTGTGAGGAGCATATGTGATGAGTCTGAAATGTTTCTGAGATAGCCAGTCGAACTGATACTTTTCCCCTTCATATTACTCTTTTTCCTGGTCAATCTCAAAAATGCCCATGACTTCAAAAAGTTGGTTTTACAGTATAAATAAATAAATAAATAATTGCAGGAAAAATCACCAGGTTCATAGGGGCAGTTGAATTTAACAAATAATTCTCTCCTACTGTCCCCACATCCATACTTGAATTACAAAAAACATTTTATTTGTGTACTATATGACTAAACAAAGTCCTGCAATTATTTAAATACAGATTTTACTTTGTTATTATTCAGCTTTGTCTCACTCTTTACGTTAATTTAATGTATTTAATTTGTCTAGGAATTTATAAGTTTCATCAAAATTTTCATATTTTTCAGCATAGAATTCTTCATAAAATCTTTAGATTTTTTATTATAGCAAAATAAACATAAAATTTACCATTTGAACCATTTTTAAGTGTATAATTCAGTGGGATTAGGTACAGTTGCAATGTTGTATAACCATTATCACTATTGCTAGAACCCTTTCATCATCCCAAACAAACTCTACCCATTAAGCAATAAATCCATTCTTCCCCCTCCCCTTGGCCCCTAGTAACCTCTATCCTAGTTTTTGTCTCTCTGAATTTACCTATTTTAGTTAACTCATATATGTGGAATCATATAATATTTGTTCTGTGTGTCTGACTAATTTCACATAGCATAATGCTTTCAAGGTTCATCTATGTTGCAGCATAAATCAGAACTGCCCTCTTTTTTATAGGTAAATAATATCCTGTTGTATGTACATATCACATTTTATTTATTGGTTCATCTGTTAATGGACACTTTGGTTGTTTCCA